TTTGCTTGTTTCCCTGCAGTCTATAACACTCCTGCACAGCATGCCCAGGCTTTGGACAATGCAGGCATATGCGTAGTTTAGATATTCTTTCCCATTCCTTTTGACTGATTCGGAGGGCTTCCGAAGGCTTGGTTGATGCATCCTCCAGTTTCTCATGGATCTTCGCGTTCTTTGGGAGGTGTACAACAGTTCCCTTACCTGAACCACGGTTAGGCCCCTTGTTTGAAGCAGTCTTTCTAAAAGCATTCAATTTTTCATCTTCGTTGACGTCGGACTCAATGGCTGATGTGGAACAGCCCATATCGGAGTCCGGCTCTAGATCGTCATCTAGAGACAGATCATCCGCATAGGACTGATCGTCAGCCTCCCGATGATCATGCAGTGCAAGCTGGTTGCTGCTTCCAAACCGCTTGCGTTGTGGTTTCCCACCTGCAGTGCGCGCCTTCTTCCGCCTGGCGAGGTCCTTGGCTTCTAGGTTGACTAGATCCGTCATGAGCTCTCGCCAGGTGGTGTGGTCTTTGAGTGCCAACAGGGAGAGAGATTCTTTGGGGGCCACTCCCATGACTACATCCATACAAGACACGTCAGTTATTCCCAGATCTGGAGTGGTGAACAAACCAGTCAAGTGTTGTTCCAAAGCTTGCATGGAGGACCTCCATGTTTGACCCTTGAGGGCCTCAAGCTTCAGCCTAGCCTTGAGCRCAGSATGCTTGTCTTGGTACCGTGCGAGGAGAAGGTCCTCAAGGGYSMGTACARGGGTTACCTTSARCCACTCTGTCAGGTCAATTCGTTCATAACCTGCAGCAACAGCTTGGAGCTCAATGTAGTTCCGTACGGTGGGCTCGGTATTAGTCCCCATGATCATACTTCGGTCCTCTTGCGGTGTCCGCATAACCTCGAAGTATGACCTCATGGAGCTAATCCAAGAGGTAATGTCTGCTTTCCCGTCGTACTGGACGGCAGCGTGGCCGCCCTCTTGTCCACCATGGGACCGCTGTACTGTTGGGCTGATGTCCCTGCATTGGGGACTGTGACCAGCGCAGAACTGTCGGCGCTGCCGCTCGAGGAGTTGGCACCGGTTCCTACGCTTGCCAAAGTTCCACTGGCACTTGGCACGAGGACTGTGTTGTACTGAGAGACTGGGATTACAGCAGTTCGAGGGTTAGGAGGGCGGGGGGCAGATAGTTGAGACTGTTTGAGGCTGGTTATCTCAGCCTGCAGCTCTTGGTTCCGCTGCTCCAGCGCTGTTACACGGGACTCAAGGTTTTACAAGGTCCGCAATCAAACCAAGGCTGCTACGGCAGCAACTAGTCCGTCCTGGAACCGGTCAGCATTTGCTTCCGGGATCCGAAGGAGAGCCACCTGATCAGCAATGTTGGCAGCTCTGGCTGCTGCCTCTGCCTCCCTTTCCCTCTGCACGGCGTCATCATAAAGCCTCTGAAAGAACGGTCTCTCGCTCTCATCTGTTGCATCCAGCATGGCCTGCCACTGGGCAGACGTGATATTAGCCATGCCGGAGGAAGGGGTGTCAGTAGGTCTCTCAAGAGGGGTCCACTCTCTCCTTACGTTTGGACGAACACTCCTCTTGCCCCTCCTCACACTCTCAAACAGAACACCCTCTCTCTCCCTTTCTTCTCTTCTCGCTGTCTGTGCACGCGTCTCGATACCGGACATAGATAGTTCAGATGAAAGAAACAATCAGAAAGTTCACACAGAGAAGAAGGTAGAACTCCTAGCCGGAGCGGCGATCCATTTGGACTCAGAGAATGGCACACAGCAAAAAAAGAATAAATAAATAAATAAATAAAATAAAACAGAATGGAGGGCTGATTTATAGAACGGGCCCGATCAGATCAGCTGGAGATCCCCTCGTGTCTAACCTGACAAGGGACATGCATCACAATAAATCAGCCGAAGAAAACTAACTGCAACAATGGAGATTTCGAGGGGTGCAGACGGTCGCCGAGTCAGACGCGGGGAAGTATGTGATAACAGGCGGTAAGACCAGTCAAGATCCCCTTGAAAGGAATGTCCTTGCTTGCCGTATGTCCCTCAAGTTCAGCGCAGCAAAGAGATGCACAGGCGGCAACAGATTTGGGCCCAAAAGGTCCTGTCCCGTTGGACCTGTCCCACTGGGTCCCGAGGGGTCCCAAGTAGGTCGTGGACCAGGACCAATGTGATAGGGGTGCCAAGTCGGTCCCAAACTGCCTCTACCGTACTGAAAAGGAAAAGACAACTTTCAGCAAGAACTTACCCCTACAGCCGTTCAGAAATGAAAAGACAATGCACCGTAGAAAGATATGTCATTTAGAATAGATACATCATCCATCCATCCATCAAGTGAGAAAGCAATCCACATGCTCACACACACAACCAAGATCGCAGAGAAGAGAAAGGGAGCCCAGCACATCCCCAACAGGCCATGAAGTACCAAGCAACCTCCCACGGGCATAACCAGGTCACACGGCACTTACCTGTGAGGCCCGACCTCCAAAGATGGATAACGAGTCACCCCCCTCTCTCATAAGTCCTCCTGACCCCTAGCTACCACTACACGAAGTGTCCTAGCATGACTAAGAGGGCCTTCCTACACTCCTGTTGCAAAGCCGGATCCCTGAAGACCAAAGTAGCAACTTGCAGCAATCCGATGCAGATATGGCAGCCTCCGATCAAGTCTCCCTCTTGAGGTGCAGATTCCAGGTGCGAGTACCTCTCACTCTCTACTCCCTCTCGCTTACTCCAATCAGCCTCCTTTGTGTCTCGCCACCCCATCCATTCACTCAGTCAACCTGGTCAGGTCAAATGTCGACCCTACATGACCTAACCAGGTGGGGGCAGTATCCACATACCTCACTGCCCCACTTAACCCTAACTTCCAACCCTAATCCTGTGTTAGGTTAGCCCTGACCTAATTCGGAATCAGGTTTAGGGTGACTAACACCTCTCGCCAGCAAGTAAGTCCGCTCCGATACCAATTGTTACGATCCTGGTCATTTCCCAAGTGCAAATTCACAATGCAAGACAATGCCACCCAATTGCGAAAGAAATGAAAGCACTTGCAAAGAGATAAAGACCAGAGGAGAGGTAAAGAAGAAGAAGAAGAAGAAGATATGCACCAGCAAGACCAATGACAATTCCCCCTTCTCTCTCCACCTTCCTCCTCCTCCTTCACTTCACCAATCTTATTCTTCTCTCAATAATAATAATAACAATGAATGGATGAACCAGAATCCATATCCGAAGTTCCCTCTTACTGCTGACTCAACTCAACAACAACAACAATAACCAGTCCACCATAGCTATGGCTTCCCTTCTTCAGCCTCCTCTCATGCATAGGCTATGGCGGACTACTCCAAGCAGCTAGGGTGCTGTGCTGATGTCCAAAGGACAACCCAAGCAGCTATGGTGCTGCGCTGATGCCCAAAGGACCACTCAAAGCAGCTATGCCGCTGCTGACTTGGACCGCTATGCCTGACTCTGCCTCAAGCTTCCAGATGCAGCGCCCAACAAGGTGATGAAGATGGTGTCTTCCATAGCCAGGTAAGTGCCCCGCCACTCTCCTACCACGCCCCCTTCTTCCTCCTCCTCAAGCTGGACTGCTCGCCATAGCTAGGCTGAGCTCCAGCTGCCCTTCACCTCCAAGCAGCGCTGCACTGGTCCAGCGCTGCGCTCCAGCAGCATGTCGCCAATCCTTGCACACCGCAAATGAGGAAGAGCTCTTTGCTCTTCCTGAAGATATAGCGGCCCACCGGCCTCCTGGGCGGTGACTTCCTAGGCCTAGCGGCCTCCCAGCAACCGGTACCTCCTCCCTTTYGGAGGGAAACATCATTGCAGGCTCTGCTATCCTCCGCACAGGCCCTAGACCTGGGCTACTTGGACTGGTACCGGCCTACCTCTAACCTACCGCCACTGGGCCTCTAAAAATGCCGACTTTTTGTCTTCTTCTGCTCGACCTCCAGCACCCGACACTTCTACCACTACCTCAGTAGTACCGGCCTACCTGCTACTTGAGTGTTTTTCCCCTCTGCTGTAAGTGCCGCGGGCCTACCCCCGCTACTCGAGTGTTTTCCCCCTGCAACCCTTCACAGTCACGGCCACAGGTAAGTACCGGCCCTGCAGGGCCTTGCAACCAACAAGTACCCTTGCGGGTCACACACACACTCAACCGTCAAGCACTCAGACAGGCATGCAAACCAGCAGGCACGCACACACACACAGACATGAAAATCACAGCAGAATGCGGGAATTTCAACAAGGCATTCATTCCAGCAGCAAATCCCAGAAATCAGCAGTGTTCTCAGTCTGTGTTTTTGGCGGGTCATTACAGACTGTAGTAGATGCAGCACTGAAGACCATTGGCAGCCTGTGCAGTGCACAGTGTGGTGCACAGATCAATGATGCATGCACACCATGCGTGCAGGTGCAGGGAACTAGGCAGCACACTACCGCACCCTGTGGGAGATGGAGGAAGCATAGTCAGTCACCTTCATTAGTCTCTAGAAGCAGCCACCCGGCCCACATGGTTGAACACTAAACACATGTCACTGTTAATAACAGATCATCAGTTGAAATCCCCAGTGAATCACACGAGCACATATGCATCAGGCATTACCTCCTTTTCAAAGCAGAAAAACAAGAGGTCTCTGGCGGAAGCTAACATGAAGGACAAAGCAAATGAGGATCCAGATAGATAGACAATTCGATTTTGCAGAGAAGGGGACTTTGTTCTGAGCGATGTGAGCGTGTAAAAGAAAACATACTTTGTGCCGAGGTTCCAAAGTCATCGCACAGCCCAAGAAATGCGGCAAGCCTGTGCACAGTCCCCCATACATGGGCTCCAAACAGCTTTTGCAAGCCACTCAGGGCAGGCAGTCAACTGCCACTATAAAGTCACACAACTTCTCAATCCCCAAAAGAAGTCTCATAATGGTAAGCGGGTGGTGTTGCTCATTTGCAGTGAAATTCGGAAAGCACTATTGCGAGGGCTCTTTCAAACTCACCTTTTAGCCTTTGCATCAGCAGCATTGTCAACAAGCTCAGCAATTGCGCCAAACACCCATGCATTGTGCGTATGCTTGAGGGATCGCATGTAGTTTGGATGAACAGTAGCAACTCGAGGTGTTGGGCGTGGGGGTGCATGGCTTGGCCCACCACCATGGCGTGCCCTAGTAGCACCAGTCGATCGTACATCTCCATTCTGCTCAAGACTTCGTCCGCCTATTGCTGCTCCAGCCTCACCTTCCTCATCAGAGCTTGTCCTGCTCCCGGTCTGCACTTCACTTGGGGAGGAAATATCCATGTCCTGCAGCCCTGAGCTGGCTGGTTGACCCGATCCTCGGCCTGATTGCCCACACTCACTCGTACCTTGGGCCAAAGGGCGGCCATCATAATTACTTGTGCAACCTTGTGATGTTCCGACCACACCTGAACGGGGCAAGAAACGATTTCTCGGTGAGACTCCATCTGCAACAGGAGCCACGGGAGGATGACCCACCATTCCAGGATTGACTCGTGGTGGGTAGCCATGTGGAAATTCGTGGACATATTGCAAACCTGGATACATTCCGGGTCCTTGTGGAGGCATGGCAAAACTATACGGGCCTTGGCTGTAGAAACCCACCATTACAGGACCATGTGGATGATGAGCTACTTGAGCGGGGGGACCATGTGGTGCTGTGGTCCCATAATGTGAATGCATTGGTGCTGCCGAAAAGCTCAGATTAACCCCATTCGAACCTGCTGCAAAATTTGGCCCTGAATGATTCCCCCCACTGAATGCTGGCTGAACTCTACTGCGCCCATAATACACTGTCAAATTCACCAACATCCCAGAGGTTCCAGAACTCGGAGGTGGTGGCATCATCAGCAGCTGCCAACCATCAATGTCTCCATATGCGACCTGGAGAAACAGAAAAATGGGAACAATGACGAGGTACAGAAAACAATGACAAGGGGCATAAGCATGAGATAGAGCAAACAACGATCTCAGGACGGACAGAGGCAGAGGCATCAGCTCGCAAAGGTATGAAGACAATGCCCCAAGGTCCCAGATAACCACCTTCGATGATTCTAATACCAAAATTGTGAGTGATCGGGAATTGGCTCCAATCTGTGTATCACTGAATCTGGCCCATTAGCTGTGGTGATCGGATCAAGAATTCCAAACCTGTTGAATCCCCACATCAAGCCAGAGCCATTGCTTATCATGAGTGTGAGGATTACACTCGCATCACCAGAATAAGAATCTGTACAGTCTAAACTTGATCCTTGGACGTCCAGTCAGAATGACCAATAATCATCTCCTTTCCCGAAACAGTACGATGGGTACAGAAGAGAGAAAAAGCTGGACTGCCCCAAACGAGAAAGACCGGAAAGATCCAAAAGTGATACAAAGTACTACAAACAGATGACGAAGCCAGAGCTTCCAAAATTTGCGGAACCATTCTGTTCTTTGTGCTTGGTGCCACAAGGTGTTCTCTAGTCTATTGATGGACATTCCTGTGGTGTTGCTCGTCTGATTTTCGTTTCCAGGGCTCTCTTCTCTCTGGTCTGTGCCTTTTAGATAGTGTGTATCTTGTGATGATACCACTAGCGGTCATTGATCTGATGCATGTTCGGAAACACAGGCTTCCTCATCTGTTTGTACTATGTTCTTCCCTTTTGTTTTCACCTCTCTCTCTCTCTCTCTCTCTCTCTCTCTCTCTCTCTCTCTCTCTCTCTCTCTCTCTCTCTCTCTCTCTCTCNTCTCTCTCTCTCTCTCTCTCTCTCTCTCTCTCTCTCTCTCTCTCTCTCTCTCTCTCTCTCTCTCTCTCTCTCTCTCTCTCTCTCGCGCGCGCGTGTGTATATGCCAACAGCGCAAGTTCGAATGCCCAACAGACCCCCCTCCCCTCTCACTCTCTTCCTCTCTCCCCCCTCTCCATATGTCACACGCCTCTAGCTCTCTCTTAGAACCATCAGGAGACTAGGCACTGTTCGGAGAGGTTGGGTTGGTGGCAGGACGCAGTGTACATGAAAGGAGGCAGCACACATGCGGGGAAGGTCCAGGAAGGCAGTGAAAGATGGGGAACATAGGGGAGGCTGGGGGAGGTTTCAAGAAGATGGGGGACGTTGGTACACCACAGGTGGGTGAGGTTGGGGAGATTGTTAGATGGCAGGATGTGAATGCAATGGGGTAAGTTGGCGGAGGTAGCGGGGTGCAGTGCGACGCTGGCGGAGGTCGGGGAGGTAGTGGGAGACAGTGGGCAGGCAGGGGAGGTTGGCAAAGGCAGGAGGCAGCTAACAGGTAGGGGAGGTTTGCCAAAACATCCCTTTAGATGTCATGCATGGACATGGGAAACTGCATGCTTAAAGCCTTAACCGCTGGGCAGACTGGTACCCACACAAGGTGGACAGTCGCAATTCGAGGGTAATGTGATTGGCCACGGATCATGCCCATTGCCCAGTGCACCACCCAGATTGTCCAAGACTGAAATTTATTCATTTCTATATAAATCAGTATTACATATGTTGTCACTGAACCACAGGTAGAAATGGAGAAAAGGAAAAGAGACACAACAGTGACTTACTGTTTTGTCAGATAACCAATTCATCAGGAGGCTGGAAAAGGAAAAGAAACACAACAGTGTCAGACAGATAACCAATTCATCAGGAGGCTGGACCTTCGGCAGCCCGCTGAGACCCCATACAGACCATGCTCTGAGTGATGATCCACCTTCACCCCATTTCCTACCCTTTAGGTTACCTGTGATGAAAGTTAAAGCAGATTATCACCCACCCACACCAGACCGACGACTGTACAGACAGTAGGTTCACACCCTATCATAAACCAACAAAGCCCCCACCAAACAAAGAAAGGTCTGCCACAGCCAGAGAACACACTCCAGACACACCGCTGGGAATAGGCACACCATGGCCGATTAAAGATGGGCAAACCACTGGCCCTCCAAACCTGACAGGTGAACCACTGCAGGGCGTAGTTAATGCTCTCAAACTGGCACATCAAAGCAACACGCACTAACTTCTACAAGAACACAAGAAAGGGAGACGAGCTGCATTCAAATGTTTAGAAAGGGCCACTTCATGCTCGCTGTACATTTCTTAAAATTGGAATGATCCAGAGAAGATTAGCATGGCCCCTGTGTAGGGATGATGCACTCAAATCCACAAACAGTCCAAAGTATTTTGTAAACAACAGAGAGAGTCATTGCATTACTTACCCTTTCATTCTTCTTAAGGAAGGATGTGAACCTCTGCCATTCCTTCTTGGCGGATTGATCGTCAGATACAGCTCCCGCAAAGCATAACTCGAACCGATTCATCATCTCATATCGTTCAGCACAAGTTGCAGCTCTCATTGTGTCTTCAACCACAATGACTCTAGGCCTGTCCAAAATGAGCATATATCCGTCAGGCAAGTTAATTAACGAATGAAACAACCAACTTAGCCAAGTGAGCTTGTCAGCTCACCGTGTTGTTCTCTTCTGAAACCTAAACAAGTTTATCCTGTAAACAAAATTTCCAATTTTTGTAACAAGGTAACCCGCAGGCAACTGATGCAAAATTTAGTTTAAAGAATGATGAAGCAGCCAAGTGACCTTGTCTCTTGTCAAATATGCTTATCCAACACAAACTACACATTTTTTGTAATAGCCTAACTGCCTGGTAACAGGGTAATAATGTTAAGAAGAGGATGTCGATGTTCACAAGATTGATTAGTATTTGCCAATCGCCACTAAACCAGGGAACCCAGGCCATCATTGCACCTATGGGATACATACTGCGAGGCACAGGGCCTCGGTATGCCCAACAGGGCCTATTTTCAACGCAGTCGGCCGCCCTAAGTGAAGGCAGGCACGACCAAGGCCTACAGGGCATTTTGGGGTCACCACGCAACTGGCGAAATTCAGGCAGTTGCGCAGCGCCAGTTGGTTGGAAGTGCCCAGGCCCAGGCTGCCTTTCATTGTATGTAACTGAGGCAGGCCCTGGGCCGGATACACAACGTGGGCCGAACAAAGGCTGAGGGCAGTTGGGTGCAGGCCCTGGGCCTGTTTACTTCGGACTGAGGCTCAGCCTCGTGGGGCATACCGGAAGCTTCTGGGCCAGGGCCCAGTACCGCATTACCGCACGCAGCAGCAGGCCACTTCGATATAGGGAAGGGCCTGCCTACGCATTGGACATTCGGGCACTGGCTGCATTGTGTGCAAGCGCTGCTGCGCTATCGCTGGCCAGCGCTCACGTGCTCACGGGCGAGCTGGAAGGAGCAGGCAGCCATAGCCGAGCTGCGCTGCTGTATGCTGGATGGGGCGCATGGTCGTCCGTGGGTGCATGTGGCATCCGTGAGTTGGGGAACGAGGTTGTGAGTGATACGAGAGGCGTAACTGGTGCTTGAGGCATGCGGCATTGGCCGAGATCTGCTCGTACTTCTGAGAGCTGTTGACGTCATCAGCGGCATTGTACTCTAGGCTAGATAGGATCTGCCATTCGTAATCTGGGCGCCGAGCGCCAGATAGGATATCGACATTGGTTCTTCGTTGATGATGATGAGACTATTCCAGCATTGTCAATTATGAGCTTTTGCTGTGCTCTTATTTGGTGAAACGTGTGATGCAATTCTGGTATTGGTTCGAGGTCACGACTATCTGGTCTCATGTGTATGATGCTGTTTGATTTCTGAAGTTCGCTATTGCTCATCTTCCTTGCAATTTGGTATCGGAGCTGTGGTAAGGTGCGCTAATCTGGCGCTTGTCTTCTGCCTAATGCGGTACATGCACGCGGTGTGTGTGGTGAGCGACCATGCCGTGGGACGTGTGTAGTGAGCAGGACGAAGATAAGCAGGCGACCCAGGTGGAGAGGGGATTGCCAGGAAGGCTAAGTGGTGAAGATTGGGTGTTCGCAGTGTGATGAGAACTATCCGGTGTGTGATTGATGCTGAGGTGGAACGGTGGTGCAATGCTGGTTGTGCCGAAGCAGCGATTGGTCATCACAATCAACATCGGGTCATCTGGTGAGAATATCTGTGGTTGGGGGCAGCTATTTTGAAGTACGTTGCACCTAACCTTATCTACCCTCTTCGACACTTCTTACCGTGAGGATGTTTGTTCGGTCTTGAGAATCCTCTCATGTGAGGATTCGGGTGCGCTCAACCTTGAGAGTCATCAGTCGTCACGTGGAGCATCTGGAAGGAGAGGGCGGTGCTATCTGAAGGGCCCTGGACGAAGCACTGGGTCACGGTCACCATGCCAACCCACCGGGAGTAGACCACGTATGCTTTGCTGCTTTGTCCTTTGTCTGCTCGCTGCACTGTAGAGGGGTTCTGAAGGGCAGGCCAGCCCTATGGGACAGACGAGACCAAGCGTCTATAAATAAGCATCGGGGGGGTACCTTCCATTGGCTGCGATCGTCGTCCTGTTTGCAGCGTTAAATAATTCCTGAGGACTTTGGGGGCCGTCCATAAAAACGCCTCCTGATCAGCCAATTGGTCGGTGTAAGGCTCGCTGCACGCGATGACAAAGACTGTGCAGGGCTGGCCAGCTCAGCGGGACTCGGGGCACAGGGCCGGGCCGTGTGCACACCTTTAGACACGCACGCTGTCCGGATTGCTCAGGGACCTTGCGACAAGAGACATTCAGGAAGAACTGAGGGAGGGGTAGATTCCAGGTGATAAGTTTGAGCAAGATTCCACTCTGCAACAGACCCACAATTCATTTCGATATCGAAGACCTATTTTTATTTTGATTAGTTAGATTTACAGCCATTAACATCTAACAGACAGCATGGTTTAGAACTGTTTTCTGTTCATTGTGCTTTTTGTTTGCGAACTAGTCAAAGTCAAAGTAGTTTCGTTTGTAGGAACCTCAACTTACCTGTTGGACCCAAACATTTATACTCTCTGACGCAGCCACCGATTAATTAGTTTAATTATTATAAATCGGTCTGTGCACTACGCTGCGGTAAGCATCAAAGAGTGACTTAGTGCAGATTGTGTACAGTTTTGTAGCTTATGAGCGACAGGGATACCACTAGTGAGGACGACCGGATCTTGCGATCGGCTAGACACCCGACTGCCCACGTGGCATTAGGACCCGAGGGTGATAGGTTGCTGTTCCGCCAGCAAAGGGAGAGGCAGCACCAGCAGCAGAGAGCTAGGGCAGCATAGGCCTGCAGGGCATTCACAAGCGAAGCCGCAGCTTCAGCAGCCATGGCAACTGCTGTGAAGCAGAGTTCCCAGGTTAGCAGTTCAGGGGCCCTAGGGTCAACGGTCGCACAGACCCTGAGTCAGTCCACCGGCGTAATGATAATTCAGCCAATAGTGTTGACTTGTGATGAGATTGCCATACAGCAGGCAGCACTGCAGGAGGCACAACTACAAAAAGCTTTAAGAGAGAGAAAAGCGGAGAAGGAAAAAATGATTAGAAGAAGAGTCAGGATGCAGCGGAGAGAAGCGCACATCAGTGAGTTAGAGGGCATGGACGTGACGCACATGGGTGCAAATGTGAGGACGCTGCGGACAGTTCTGCTAGGCGTAGTAGAAATGCAGGACCACCACACGGCCCTCCTTCAGGACATCCAGCAGAGTCTGGCCGTGCTGGTTGGGCGAGTGCAGGCAGGTCCATTGCCGTCCGGGCCCGGTGCCTGGCCCGTTGTACAACCTCCTCCTTATGTCCCACCGGTGACTGGGGTATCCCCATATGTCTCCCCAGCATCGGTCCAAACTGTTTCCCTGAGTATGTCGTTTGAAGGAGGGTTCTCAGCAAGTCCTAGCGTGCAGGTTCCTGTACAGACAGTGTTCTCCCAACGTCCGTCGCAGGCTGCCGTAAGCGGGCAGCCTGCTGTCTCGCAGCCTGCACAGCCGCAGGGTACACAGCCCCAGCAGCAGCTAGTGGAGCAGCCTGCACCACAGGGTCCACAACCCGGGATGGTGCATGTACCGGGACAAAGTCAATGGGTTCCAAAGACGGCCATCGCTCATCCTAAACCCTTTACAGGGGATAAGAGGGGCGAAAACCTCGACACATGGTTGAAAGCAGTGCCCGTCTATGCTAAGTGTAAACTTACCTTGCCGCACGAGGAAGTGTTTGTGGCTGCCTCCTATCTAAAGGGGAGTGCAACAAGATGGTTGAGCGGTTTAGTGCAGTTACAGGGATACGGTCATGACTTCCGCGCTTGGGCAGTCACCCATAAATTGGATGACTTCCTCAAGTTGGTGGAAGACAAGTGGCATGATCCTCAGGAGGCTCAAAAGGCCACTGATGTGATCCTGACTCCGCATACTAGGCAGTTTAAGTCAGTAAGGGAAGCCACAGACGCAGTAGAGCGTCTGATCTGTGTCCCTGGGGTGCGCTATGACCCCCAGGTTTTACTCACCTCCTACCTAAGATGCTTTCCTATGCCTCTCACGAATCAGTTGGCAGGTGAGGCCAACATCAACATGCACAACTTCCCATCGTTTAGCATGAAGGCCCTAGACCTTGAAGCAAAGATAGGACATGGTCAGACACCCACAACGGATGGTACCAAAAAGTCTCTGCCTTCCAACTGGAAAGCAAAGGGACGCATCATGTTCGTCGACAACGATGGTTCCACCATCGACTTGGACGACGACTTCCAGGCGGGAGTGGGTTAAGAGGCTGGCAGCGTAGAAGCTTTCAGGGGTGGAGTAGTCGCTGCCGTAGCTCAAAAAGGTAAGGCAATCGATAGACACCGTGAAGGTTCCCGATCTAGGAGTCAAGTTGACCCCAATGCTCCTCCATGGGAGAAAGCGGGTCTCAGTGAGGACGTGTGGAGAGATCGGTACACGCGGCAGGCTTGTATTCATTGTGGCCAATATGGCCATAACCAGTTCAAGTGCCGAAACAAGAAGGTGACAGAAAAGATCCCGCCTACGATGGGGCAGGTGTTGGGATCCTCCGTTCCCTTTGGCAGCAATGTGGCCAGCAGTTCTTGCACTGCTCCAGGAAATGCGTCGGGCAAGTAGGAATAGTAGTTGTTCCTGCTAGGGTCGAGGTGGTGGAGACACCCTCACCATCTCGAGAGATGGCCCAAGCTACTGACTCCATCGTCGTCCTGCAAACACTTGCAGACCCATCGAGCCTTTGTTCGATGAATGTGTCTGTGGTCTAGATCAGACCCACTAGCTTCTTGGACGGCATTGGCTAAAGCCCCTAAGGGTGAGATGTTCTTCAGCGAGGTAGTCATCGGCGGCCGCAAGGTCGGGGCCTATTATGACACTTGCTCGACACGGAACTTCATTAGACGCTCGTGCGTTGAGAGGCTGCGCTTACAAGGGCAAGTGCAGGGCCTGAGTCGACCTGTGGAGTCTACCTTTGCCAACAAACAGCGCATGGTAGTCAACGACTACCTTCAAAACATTGAGTGTCTTGTCC